ATAATAATTAGTAGGAATCTGTGATTCATATGAGTGGCCCCTTAATGCTGAGTATAGTATGCAAGGTCGCGCTAGAGGTTTTACTTCTCCCTAATGATACGCAATCATTATAAAGCTCCGTGTGAGACACACACCACACACACACACACACACACACACACACACCACCAACACACACACACACCACACACAACACAACACATACACAGCAGCACACACACACACACACCACCACACACCACACACACAGAGAGAGAGCTAACTAACCTCGATTACATTGAACTTGACTGTTCATATTTGATAGATACGAGCACAAATATAAAATAGTTTCTCACATATAATAATCATGTATATATTGTAATATAAACGATTAAAAACGATCGGTTATTGTTTTAATAATAACAATGCAATGACTAAAAGTGGTGCATTTTATAAGGTACGTAGTTGCTTCTTGACGTGAAGAGAATCGTTTATTTCACAAGTGAACGTGTTTTAACACAATTGCATCATTGCTCAATGAGAAATGGTGACGGTATACCGGTAATAAATCATTCAAAGTTCGACCACTAGGTGGCACTCACGTATCATTTGTGAGAGAGACGTCGTCGGTAAGGCATTGACTGCCTTGAAATCACTGATCTCTAGTATACTAACTTATATTAACTATCTCTCATGTTGTTGGTATATAGAGATCAGTGCTTGAGATTGACAGATCTTTGCTTTCTAGTGAGTTTATAGTAAGTTGGTGTGTATTGGAGAAACTATGCGTGTCTTGCCATACGATTTATTTGTTAATGAGTGCTACTGTCAAATTGTTCTCCTATGTACCAACTAAATATAATCTTGAAGTGACGTTCTGTGCAATTTTAATCTATGAGTAAGGTAGCATTATATATGTTAGTTCTTGTATAACCACTGCTACGTTACTTTGGCAAAATAGCAAAAGCATAGGGAGCAGTCACTCAACGAAATGTAATTGAATTTCTTGAAGCGCAGTCGTTTTTCTCTGACTATATATTCTATTTTCAACGCGCATAGACTCTAGACGGAGTCTCATCGTGTGGTTAACAATGATGCTTGTAATATACATTCTCCGTATTTACGCGGTATAGCATTCCTGCCCATGGATGGCTTGGTAGGTGATAAACAGAACAAGGAAAGAGAGTCGTATATGTTCTATAAGCCACTATTCCGCTTTCATGATTTGTGTACCTTCCTTATTAATGGCCTGACTTCTAAGAATTTATGTCGATATTCACAAAGATTTATATTGAATAAAAATATTTTTCTTTCTGTTTTTTTATGAAAACCGTTTGTTATGAGTGTGAATTGAATCGGATTTGGGGAAGTATTACAGTTTATTTAGACCAGGTGTTCAGCCGACAAAACTGTATAGCAGGGCCGTAGCTAGCAGGGGGGCAGGGGGCTGCCCTCCCCCCGCCAAAAAAACGCGGTGTGGAGCTCTTATGTTAAGTTTAAACACAAATAACAACAATTTACAGTTGATTGATATTGACGTTTTAAGTATGTAACCTACCTGAAATGGCTGGAAATGGCATTTCAGAGCTTCTATATTTCAAAATTTCCTGGGGCATGCCCCCACGGCAGACCCCACCTAGAAGCGAGCGCCTCCTCCTAAACTGAACTTTCCACGCTGTAACCACGTCGCACGGTCGCACCAATGATGCCAACATGGCCGCCTTTGTTTTGATGACGTCACGTGCAAGGGGTCTATGCTTGTTCATTTTGCCCCCCCCCCCTCCCCATACATTAATTCCTAGCTACGGCCCTGTATAGCCGTGTGCCATTCGCGGTTATAATTTCAGGAGTAGATAAAGAGTAGATAAAGAGTCTTTATCTACTCCTGATAATATAATATAATAATGATTACAATATAAGAACTTATGTGTGTTTATGTGACTGTAAAAACGCGTATTTTAGGCGTATAATCACATTTTGTGCTTTTGGGGGGAGGGGGGTGAAAAAGTTTAGGCTGAAAACCAGCCATTTGCCTGGCTAACTTTTCACCGTGAACTTGATGCCGTGGGCGATACTATCCGCGAGAGGGGAAAGGGGAATACTGTGGGGAAGGGAGTGAGAGGGGAGAACGAAGGAAAGAGCAGATCACGGGTAAGAGTGGCGGAGGGAGGGAGGAATGGAGAGGGAGATGGGGATCACACGTACGCGCCGTCACACGAGCTATAGGCCTACAAACCGGCACCGCACGTAGCAATATACAAGCGTGCGTGCGACCATACCCGCGTGTGCGCGTCCGCTTGTGTGTGCGTGTATATGTGTTTTAATATGACTGTAAAAACGCGAATTATAGCCGCATATCCACATTTTGGGGTTTGGGGAGGGTGAAAAAGTTTTGGCTGAAAAAGGCATATATAGTTCCTATATGAACCTAGAGATGGCGCTTTTCACTACTTTTTAAAATGGCGTTACTTTTGTTATGACTTATGTTTCAGTGAATTTAAAACATTAAAACAAAGAATTAAACCTATTTCTTGCTGTATGATACTCGGTATGAAAAGTGGAGAGACTTTAGACATTCCATAGTTACGAGGTAAGCTTTCTCCATAGCCCTATGATAAAGTTAGCATGGCGCTTGGTCAGGCATAGCCACAAGTTCCCATCTCGCTTAACACTACGTGCCGTGTAACTAGTCGGAGAGCCTGGTCGGTTTAGGTCAGGCAATGCCTCTACAGTACAGACTACACTCTACAGTCTACTCTAGTGAAGCCAGCATAGCCACCATTTCGGTCAGTAATATATTAATTTATTTACGCAGTGGCTACGCGTCGGACCGGTCGCCTAGCCCCAGGCTACGCGTCCGCGCATCTACTCACATGCAAGCGATTACTTGCGCAACGCGGACGCTTGCGCTCTGCTGATTGACGAAAATTATACATATAGCCTTGCCGTAATAATATATACACTGTGCTGTTCTACCTTCTCTGTCTCTCTTCGCCCTATCTCTCCTCTCACACACAACACACACAACCATACACGGCTGACACAGCTCTCTCTCTCTCTCTCCCTCTCTCTCTCTCTCTCTCTCTCGCTCTCTCTCTCTCTCTCTTCTCTCTCTTCTCTCTCTTTCTCCTCTCTCTCCATGCTCTCTCTCTCTTCTCTCATCATCTCTCTCTTCTCTCTCTTGTCTCTCTCTCATCTTCTCTCTACTCTCTCTCTCTCTCTCTCTCATTCTCTCTCTCTCTCTCTCTCTTCCCTCTCTCTCTCTCTCTCTCTCTCATCTCCTCTCTCTCATCTACTCTCTCTCTCTCTGTCCTCTCTCTCCTACTCTCTCTCCTCTCTCTCTCTACTCTCTCTCTCCTCTCTCTCTTCTCTCTCTCACACACAACCACACACCACATACACACACTACACAAACACACACACACACACACACACACACACACAACACACACACAAACTACACACCACACACACACACACACTCACACACACACGTACTGCGCATTGCGCTGAATCTGGTGTTACGTGTGTGTAAGACTCACTGTGTGAGATGGATGTCCGGACGCCGTAAGCTTAGCGGTTCCTCGTCCGGAACCGGTGCGAGCCACGCCTAATATTTATTTAAAAATCAATGTTAGTGACTAAATGTAATATCTGTCTTAGTAACAGTTATACGTGTATGACTTATTGGAGTAGAAACCTCGCTCTGTCCAATGCGTAGATTTGTGGATGCTATGGAGTGCTGCGGCTGCTAAACATCCGGCATGTGTTTTTATCGATATTCCTCTCAAACCATTGGTGGTCCAAGCACACAAGCTATATGCTTACTAGCTTTTAGCCGGTACTTAACATTAATCTATCCACACCATAGGGTATTAACGTTCAAACAACTTTTGCAGTGGTTTTAAAATCATCTCGAGGAAGAAGGAGGAGGAGAAAGAAAAAGAAGGCGAAGATAGAAGTAGAGAAGACGACTGACGCCGAAGACGAGGAAGAAGGAAGATGATTAAAAAAACCAACAGATAGAATCTGGCCGAAACATCTGCGCACTGATTGAGGCCGCAACGTAATAACGAGCCACAGTGTACCGGTATAGCGGCGACCTGTGAGATCATCTTTCAGGAAAAGATGAATATTGTCACCAAGCTAGGTGCCATCTACACTGATCTGGAGACTATGCTTCCCATTGTCCTGCCGCTATCACATGGAGACTTCTCTATCTGTCGTCTCAAGACTGAGAATGTCACCTTGTCCAAGCTGTCAAGTAGCCGTCTTCTGGATGTCATTGCCTGCCAAGCAGCACCAACGCCACTTCAAAGTTTGCATGCAGTCCTATGATTCACCTGCAACTCGGGCACCTCAGGCACCCCTGAACCTGTCATATCTGATTTCATGATCTAGAGAGAAGAACACGATATAGGAGAAGACTATATACAAGTATACATGATCGCAAGGAAAGATACAACACACTAATCGATGAGCAGCATGGGTTTGAACCACAACAAAGATGAGAGACTCTGCTGCCCACAGCGTCACATGAACTAGCAGAGTCAACTAATGAGGGAAGACAGACTGACGCAATCATACTGAACTTCAGCAAGGCATTTGATCTACCAGTGACGTCTCTTAGCTGCATTGAACCACTATAAGACATTCTACCAGTGACTCAGGTCATTCTGTTCAAACAGAAGCTGAAGATTCTTCCCACGTTACATGTTACAAACTACTAAAGCCGAGGCACAGGATGAGAAAATCTTCATACAGGAGCTG